AATGATCAGCAGAGAGTTCTAGAACTAGTCACAGTTGGAGGTACCTATTGAAACCTGAGCATAGGGCTCAAGCTATAAGAGCAAATCAGGACTCCTCTCCGTACTAGGTAAAAGAACTCTCTCCATTCCTCACCACACTTCTGGTTTCCTCTCTAATGCTTTTCCTTTGGCTTATTAAAATCACTTCCATCTTAGTAGAATGAAATCTTGAGAGCGTTCTCAATTTGAGGACAGTGTTAGCTACAAGCTGTTCATTGAGCCCATGCTGTAGAAAATTTGGGGGCAATGCACATCAGTCCTTTCAGACTAGACCTGCCCTCTGTGGATCTCGGACCAATTTCTTCTGCCTTAAGCAGATACTACTATTTGTTGTGCTTTCATTATTGGAAATTGATCAGATTAACCTAAAGAGCCCACCTTTTCCTGGGCCCAGTGTACGTGTTCCTCAGACAAGCTTTGTCATAGAACTTACAGACCCATTTAAGAACCAAGTGCTTTGCATATTATGTCCTCAGAATAATTAAATGTTAATAATGATAATACATGGGGTTATAATAAGGAAGCTGGTGGGGGCAGGGGCAGTATTTCAGAGAGAACTGATACAGTTTGTCTGTTGGAACAAACAGTTATTGGAAAGCCCTGATAAGCTGCCTCATTTGTCTGGGGCAAACTAAAAATAAATAAATTAAATAAATAAATAAATAAATAAATAAATAAATAAATAAATAAATAAATAAATAAATAAACCAAGACTTAGTATAGATATGTAACAGTCAGCTGAAAGTATTTCCCAAAACTCAATCCAATTTTCTATGTGAAACCCAAGCAATTCTTCAAGAAGCAACGTCTCCCCCCCCTTTTTTTTTTTTTAAAGATTTTTATTTATTTGACAGAGAGAGAGAGAACAAGCAGGGGGAGAAGCAGAGGGAGAGGGAGAAGCAGGCTCTCTGCTGAGCAGGGAGCCCGATGTGGGACTCGATCCCAGGATCCTGGGATCATGACCTGAGCCGAAGGCAGATGCTTAACCCACCAGGCCACCCAGGCGTCCTCCCCTTTTTTTAAAAAAAGATTTTATTTATGTGTTTGTCAGAGAGAGAGAAAGAGAGCATGAGCAGGAGCAGAGGCAGGCAGAGGGAGAAGCAGGCTCCTCGCTGAGCAAAGAGCCAATGCGGGACTCCATCCCAGGACCCTGAGATCATGACCTGAGCTGAAGGCAGATGCTTAACCGACTAAGCCACCCAAGTGTCCCACAACGTCCCTTTTATTAAGCAATAGTACTGTATTGTCTCCTTCCACTAGAAATCAAGCTCACTGATCATAGGGACTTTGTTTGCTACATTCCCAGTGCTTAGAACCATATCGGGCATGCTGGAGTGCTTAATAAATATTTACTGAATAAATGAGTGAATGAATCTGAAGGAAGTAGACAAATAGATGAATTTTCCCCAGTTTTCTGTGGAAAGCAGGGTGTTTCTCTACTTTTTTATCATACATATAATGTATGATAATAAAAATCCAAGGGGTTTCACAAGGATCTCACACTTTCTGGGATGAGTCTTCCAGATGTCTGGGAGATTATGGAAAGACTACCGAAAGCTCAGTTGGGTGGCACTAACTCTATGACTTCCATGTAGCCCACGTAACGGTAGGCATGAAAACAGTGAAAGGGTAAGACCTCAACAGGCAGCCCAGGAGGCTGCTGAGCGGTGTTCCTCAGGGAGTGGGCTTCCCAACTTCTACACACTAGGGGAGTCATTTTTAGTCTGCACTCAATCTGGAAGACAAAAACAAGAGGAGATCCAACCTGACTCGTCCCGCTGTAGTGTGGCAGAAACAGACACAGGCCACAGAGGAGAGGAGCGGAGTGGCCGTGCAATATAACAAGGAATTGATGCCTAATAGAATGAGTATCTGAGGGTCACCCAAGGGGAGCAGCCCCAGCTGAATGCAAGAGTTGATGAAGACGAATTTGCCATGGGGGCAGCACCACATCATCAGCACTCAAGGCAAAAGGACGGTTAGGGCTATCTGCCATCTTATGGCACATGAAATGTAGACAATATTGGCCTGTGGAAGTGCAGAACCCACCCCAAGATTGAATCACTTTCCCAAGGGAGTTGTATTCCCAAGTCCTCACAGTCTCAACTTTTACTCTTCAAGTCCCTGCTTAAGCATCCAAGAGTTTTCTTCTTAAGAACACTTTCAGTGTTCTGTCTTCTCAGACAATAACATTCTACCCTGCAAGAAAAGAAAGGCACCATCCCTAAGCAAACCTCTATGACAAAAAGCAGCTTGAAACACAGAGGAAGAGGATTATAAAAAAAAAAAAAAGAAGAAGAAGAAGAAGTCTAGCTTCTTTAGCTTCAATTGATGAGGTGTTGGAAGTCAATATGAGAGCCTGACAGTATCGTTGGTTACAATTTACACATATAAAACCATATTTTATGTAACTATCATAAACGGGTTCTCCTTTTATTTTATAGTTAGGAAACAGGACGTTGTTAATGAACTCTTTTGTTGTCTTTATAAAGCTTCTAGTTAAAGAACTCCTCAAGACATTTTGGATTGCTTGAACCCGGCGAGCCAACGCTGATGATTTCAGGCAAATCCTGATTCTCAGTAAGCAGAACTCTGTAGAGAAAGTGGCTCACTCTGTGCTCCTATATGGGTGTACTATGTGTTATACAACATGTTGTCTGCCATTTAGCAGAAGAATATTTTGATAAGAACTAAGATAATTTAAAAACAACACAAAACTGTATACTCTGCAACAGACTAAATCTTACAATCTGGAGTAGCAGAGTTCTCAGACCCCCAGACCAGAAGCCCTGGCATTCCCTGGGAACTTGTTAGAAATGCAGGCTCCCAGGACCCACCCCAGACTTCCTGAATCTGCAACTTAGAAACTCTGGGTTTAGGGCCCAGCAATCTAAATGTTAACAAGCCCCCAGCTGATGCTGATGCCCTGAAATCTGACCTTCATTGTTTCAACCCACCATGCCTCCAGAGCCTCACAGTAGTCCATTTAGAATATAGCCAAATGTCACTGCAATTCCTGAATTATGCCTCTTTTCATCACTAGGTCCTTTGATTCACGACCTATAGCCTGGTCCTCAGATGACATGGTTTCCCTGTTGGCAGCCACTCACAGCTCTCTACCAGTATATCTGCTCCCTGCTCTGCCCTCTTGGGTCCTTCTACCTGTGTGTTTGTTGGTCATGCCGTGCTCTGCAGGGGTGCAGGGTTTAGCCTCAATTGCTCTGCTCATTCACTGTTCAGAGCTTTCTCGACACCTTCTAGAGTAGCCAAAGATCCCTAGGGACAACCTCCATGTTCCTGTCCTAGAACTACCAGTGGGATTATTAAAACACAGTGCCAGATCAGGGAAATGCAGATCAAAACCACAATGAGACACCACTTCAGACCGGTTCCACTCATATGTGGAATCTAAGAAACAAAACAGATGAACAGAGGGAAAGGGAAGGAAAAATAAAATAAGATGAAAACAGAGAGGGAGACAAACCATAAGAGACTCTTAACTATAGGAAACAAACAGGGCTGCTGGAGGGAAAGGGTCCGGGGATGGGGTAACTGAGTGATGGGCATTAAGGAGGGCGTGTGATGTAATGAGCACTGGGTGTTCTTTGCAACTGATGAATCACTGACCTCTACCCCTGAAACTAATGATACACTACATATTATCTAAATTGAATTTAAATAAAGAATTAAAAAAAAAAAAAAAAACAGTGCTGGGCCCCATCTCAGAGTTTCTGATTCAGTTGGTCTTGCATATAGCCCGAGAATTTGCATTTCTAACAAGCTCCTAGTTGAAGTTGTTGCTGTTGTCTGGGGACCACATTTTGGGAATCACTTGAAAGCCAAAGTCACTAACTTATTTGTAGGTGAGTACCTAAAAAGAAAAGAAAAGAAAAATCAATCAGACCTGCCCCTTCCCCAAATGACCGCTTTGTGATGTTCCCTAAGAAGTCCTAAGTATTCATCAATTAAGTCAGTGTATTTATTTTCACTGGTAATTAAATTCCACTTACTTCAAAAAAAGTTCTGAGGTAACCAAAGTTACCTATCAGCCGAAACAGTCAGTTTACCCAGTGAGCTCAGAGAAATGCTGTTCCTCCCCGGGGGAAATAGTGAACTCTGTTGCTCTTCCAATCTGCTGGCCTTGGCCCTGACTATGATTCTCTCAAGCTAATGTGAAGTGGGGTGGGGGTGGGGAGCCAGGGCTGAGAAATTTTGCTGTCGTGATGCACGACAAAGGTAGTGGAATAGGGGGAAAGAACAGAATCTTAGCTTTGAAAAGAAAGTGGGATGTGATATTAATAATCCCGCCAATGACCGAGACAATTAACCCCCACCACACACACCATCTTAAAAGGGAGGCCCTCGCTTCCCCATCCTTCCCCACCCCTTCCCCCAAGCCAACCCAGAAATAGAACACCGCTGGCCTCTCAGGGACATTCCCTCCGCCTCATCTCCAGAGGCCACATCAGCTGCTCCCAGAACAAGCTCTGTTCTCACAACTGCACAATTCACTGCTGAAACCCTAATCTTGAGAGTGGGGCTGGGGCCAGGCAAGAGAAAATGCCAAAAGGGCAAAAGCCTCCTTCCAGATCCCAAATGTGACTCTGTAGCCCTCAAAATGGCAACTGCTGCTTGCCAGCCCCAGCCAGGTCCACAGCCCACACCAGGAGCCCACGGAGACACGGGCGGCTGCTGAGGAAAACCCCATGGAGGCCTGTGCTTTTTGCTTTCCTGAGTTCGCTACTCCACCTGGGGGTGGAGGGATCGTTCTGTGAAGGCTGTTTGGAGGGGGCCCATGGCATAAGGTCATGCATCACTTGCTGGCTCCTCCCAGTGAAAGCAGAGAGTCAATATCCAGGCTACCCTAGACACAGGCCACCTCACCCTGCTGAATCAAGTGTCAAAGGTCCTGGGGGAACAGTATTCAAATGCCTCTGCTAACTGCCTTTTGCATCTCACAGTGGTTCCTCGGGAGCATAAAATAGAAGAAGTGAAACTGAACATTCACCCCTGTAGCAGGGGAGAGGAAGAGCACCGAAGGCCCTTAGTTTGGGGCCCACTCTTTTCCTGTCGGTCACACGCAAGGCCTGGCCATGAAGGGTTTCACGGCGGCCCTCCTCATCTGGACTCTCTTATCTCTCAGCCGCAGTAGCAGCAAAGCCTGGCCCACACACACGGTCTGCCGGGATGGGAACCTGGAAGTGCTCTACCAGAGTTGCGGTAAGGTCTTTCAAAAACGTGGTCCTTTGTGTTTATGGGGAAATGAAGGCGCACAGATGGGAGCTGCGGAAGCACTGAGCTGGGGTGGGGAAAGGGTGAGAGGACCAGGACCCAAATACTTCCTCCACTTGCAGTGGGTCTGCAAGGCCATTGAGAGCCCTTGGGAGAAGGAGAGGTGCTGGGTGGGGAGTGGGAAAGAGCCTGAAGAGGACCACAAAGAGGACAAGAAAAAGGCATTGAGCCTAAATAGAGCATTTCACTAAAACTGCAGAGCCAGAAAAAAAACGAAATGACTGAGGAGTCTATCAAATCATGAAATCTCCTTAGCTCAAAATTAAGAAGAGATGCTTCCATTAGTCACCACCACCCCAAACTGTATACCTGGACTACCTTTCCAGGTCACTGAATTCGCAAATTGAGTGAAAAGATCACGTATGTCAAAAGAGAAGATTTCTGTCCTTCCTGTGACATTCCTAGGGTAGCATTGCTCATTCATTAATTCAGCACTTACCTTGTGGCTGTCAATGCCAGGGTTTTCTCTAGGGCCAGACATAACCAAAGAGCATGAGCCATGGTTATTACCCCAATGGGGCCAACGTCTTTACCAACAAACCACACAAGCTAAGGAATAGAATGCAGGAAACTGTTGCAGTAGGTGTCTGAACCAACACTTTGGAGTATATATTAGTCTACAAGGGCTGTTAGAGCGGAGTACCACGGACTGGGGTCTTAAACAGCAGGTATTTATTTTCTCACAGTTCTGGAGGTGGGGGTGGGGAGCCAGGGCTGGCTTCTCAAGTCCAAGATCAAGGTGTTGGCAGGGTTGGTGTCTCCTGAGGTCCCTCTCCTTGACTTGTAGATGGCTGTCTTCGCCCTGTGTCCTCACTTGGTCTGTCCTCTGTGCCTGGCTGTGTCCTAATCTCCTCTTCTTATAAGAACACCGGTCCTATTGGATTAGAACCCATCCATAGAATTTCATTTAACCTTCATCACCTCTTTAAAGACCCCATCTTCAAATAAAATCATATTCTAAGGTACTAAGGGTTAGGACTTCAACATATTAATTTGGTGGGGGGTGGGGCGAGGCACACTTCAGTCCACAAAGGGGGCCTGAGTGGGGAAAAATGAGCTCAGCTTTAGGATCACATCGTGAATGAAGATTAGAAGGACAGACTCATGGAAAAGCATGCCAGTGTGAAATATGACACTTTGGAGGTAGACAGGAAGCAAAATGCAGTTTGGACTGAAGGAGTTGGAAAAGTGATGCTCTGTCAGTATTTAAATTAGCCTCACGATAAGCTGGGGAGCAGTGGAGATGTTGCACTTGAGCAGATAGCTGATCATGCAGCTGCCACCCAGGGAGTTGCCTTGGAGAGGCTGGTCTCCAGGGCCATTTGTCCAACTTGATTTTACTCTTTTAAAAACAAGGAACACTGAACACTGAAATGCACAAAAACTTTTTTTTTCCTAATGTAAAAGAGAATGAATGGCTAGATGCTGTAGGTATTGATCTCATTACTCTTGCTCTTCCCACGGGGATGGGATGCTTTCTGTTGACATCTATGCATTGTAGGTGCAGGATGAGAAGCAAGAGTTGAGATGAATGGACTGCTCTGGATTTGTTTCTCCAATTCATCCTCCCATAAAAGGTTGTCATGGCTGGTCCCTCCCCAAGACCAGCCTGCAGCCTGCAGTCAAGCCTGGCACAGCCTTTCAAGTCACTGCCAAGAAAGGCAAGAGAAACGGATGCATCAGGAGAAGAACAAAAGCATATCACCCGCCTCTGGGGATAACTCCTCCCTCCAGGTAGCTGCTCCGTGGAGTCAACAAATGTCAGCACAAGCCCTGCTCTGGCCCCTCAGAGAAAAGGGATGGAGGAGACACAGTTCTCATCGAAAAGTAGTGGGAGGATCAGACAATTTAACAACAGGGTAAATGCTCTGTGTGAAGAGCCGGAATAGAGGCACATATCATGTACCAGGGCTCATGGTGGTTGGAAAGGGTAAGCTTGGGGGTCTAAACCTGCCAGGGGAAGCGTCATCAAGCTTGACCTTAACCTCAAAGAATGACAAAAAATGCTAATTATAATACCTTATGTCCGTGGAAGGTTTATATGTGCCAGGCTTAGTGCTTCCTATGCATTATTACTTTATGGATGTCTAAACGAGGGTTAGAGATGTCAGGTAACTCTTCCATCCTGGGGTTCATTTTTTCCTTCTTGTTTTGTTTTATAATTTTAGAGGTGGGGTGGTGGCTCTTAGTAATGGTGGCAGAATTACATCCTGGGGGCACAGAGAAGGCATGAAGTAAGTATCTGTGGAATTGAAATGACTTGATCCCAGGCCCAGCTGACTCGAGCCTGTGCTTTAATTTCCTGCTGTCTGGAGTTTTGTCAGAAGACCGGTGGATAGAGGTGACGAGTGGGAAGGATAACTTGGCACAGAGAATGGCATGTTGACAGCAGGGAGATGTGACCAGGCATAGAGTTCAGGGGGCTGCAGAAGGGCTGGAACACAGGGACTGCTGAGAGATGAGGTAGGAAATGTGGCAAGAGCCCGGGTGTGATGGTTGGTGAATTTGATGTGTCACCTTGATTGGGCCACGGGATGCCCTCGTTAAACACTTTCTGTGTGTGACTATGAGGGTGTTTCTAGACATTAGCATTGAAATCAGTGACCTGAGTAAAAACAGATCACCCTCCCTCCCCGGTGTGGGTGGTCACCATCCCTTGAGGGCCTGAAGAGAACAAAAGGTGGAGGGAGGAAGGATTCGCTCTCTCAGCCTGACTGTAAACTGGGACTTTGACCTCCTGCTTACAGCACTCCTGGCTATCTGGCTCTCTCGGATCTTCAGACTACACCACCAGCCTTCCTGGGTCTCCAGTTTGCAAGTGGCAGATCATGGGGCTTCTCAGCCTCCATAATCATGTGAGCCAATATCTTATGATAAATCTTCTTTTATTATACATATTCTTTCTAATATATATTTCCATCGGTTCTGTTTCTCTGGAGAAGCCTGACTAATACAGTAAGAGACGAGGTTGGGCATTCCTTTGGCAATGAGGAGGTTGCATTTGGAAAGATTCCCTCAGGGAATGGGTAGAAGAATGAATACTAGATTGAAAGCTATTCGAGGCCATAGCCAGGGTTTGTAGCCTGTAGAATCAATAATCCAGGGGGTGCCTGGGTGACTCAGTCGGTTAAGCCTCTGCCTTCAGCTCAGGTCATGATCCCAGGGTTCTGGGATCTAGCCCCATGTCCTGCTCTCTGCTCAGCAGGGAACCTGCTTCTCCCTCTCCCTCTGCCCCTCCCTGCTGCTGATGCTCACGTGCTTGCTCTCTCTCTCTCTGTCAAAAAACAAATAAAATTTTTTAAAAATAGTAATAATCCAGGAAAGAAATATGACAGGTCAAGCTAGTATCATATCAACAGCCTCAACATCAGAAGGAATCTTTGATATACTCTGGTGTCAGCAGAAAAAAAAGCAGTGTCCTAGAGCTTCTCCAAAGGTGGGTCCTGCCTCATCTCCTGAGAACCATTGAGTCATCAGGGACTGAATGGTCGCATACCCCTCCCCAGATGGAGATAGTCCTCCCTGTAGCTGCTGGATTCACAGCAGGGCAGCCCCCCTACCCCTGCTCCCAAGGCTTTCACATCTATAACATAGAACAAAGGCCATGTGTTGAGACCCTCTATCCAACCCTGGTGTTCAGATCGCCTTCATGCATGTCAGGGTCTTCTAGAATCCCAACATGCACACAGATGTGGGGTCATCATCTGACAAAAATAAAATAAAATAAAAGGATCTACTGTTTTCTGGGTTCATTTTTTCCTTCTTGTTTTGTTTTATAATTTTAGAGGTGGGGTGGTGGCTCTTAGGCCAGACAATGTCCTAAATAACACAAAAATCCTTGGGGAGAAAGAAAGAAACTCACAAGCAATTGCTGGGCTCTGAATACTGACCAGGAAGTGAGTACAATTTTCTGGAAAAGCAGAAATCCTGTTCTGTCCAACTGTTAGTGCTACAGTAAAGAGGGACAGAAGGGGAAACAAAGCAGCCTGGGGCCTTACTTTTGCTAAATCATAAGACAATTCCCAGAGCTAGCAAAAACCCAGGGATCTCACCCCATTTACATGATACAAATGCCCACCAATATATTTATTTATATGCTGCCTCTATCACACCAGCTCACAGGGTAGATTGCAAAACTCCACAGGATTAGGGGATGAAGGAGGTAGTGGGAAAGGAGGGGGAAGGGGGGGATAATAAATCCAGGAGAAATCAGGACACATACAACTGATAAGGCAGTGTAAGAAGTAAGATCTGGGAGTCTGAGGTCAGCAAACCTCATTCCAGATCTTGGGCAATATTCTGTCTCCTGTCTTTGATTGCAAAGTGGGCATATGAGTTTTCTATGGATGCAGTAATGGTTACTGCTTGGTGGCTTAAAATGACACACGTGTATTCTTTTAGTGTTCCAAGGGTCAGAAATCCAAAGTCAACTTCATTTAGTGAAGGGCCACACTCCCTTGGAAACTCTAGGGGAGAATCTCTCTCCTGGCCTTTTCCAGCTTCTACAACTGCATTCCTTGGCTCATGGCCCCTTCCTCCATCTTCGAAGCCAACAAGGTAGCATATTGCTTCAACATCTTATCATACTGCTTTCTTCTATGCCGAATCTCCCTCTGCCTCCCTCTGATGGGGACACTGAGATTAGGATAATCTCCCCATCTCAAGATCCTTAACTTAATCCCATCTGCAAATTTCCTTTTGCTATACAAGGTGACATTGGCAGGTTCTGGGGATTAGGACATGCAGGAACCATTATTCAGCCCATTACAATAGGGATAATAATTTTACCTACCTCTCAGGGCTATGTGAGGATTAAGTGAAAAGAACTATATGAAAAGTAAATACTTAGTACATAAATACTTAGTACATAAATCTTTGCTGCTGATGACTTGCAAAATATTTTCTAGTCAATAGGGGTATATTTGATT